TGTTGTTGCTGTTGTTGTTGTTGCTGCTGCTGCTGATGCTGCTGTTGTTGTTGTTGTTGGTGGTGTTGTGATTGTTGTTGATGGTGTGATGAATGTTGTTGTAATGCTACTGTTACTGCTGGTCGCCCTGCCGCAGTACTGGTTGTTGATGTTACTGATAATGCTGTTGATATATTTGTCGGTGTTGGTTGTTGCTGTGAATTATTATTATTATTTTGTTGATGAAGGTGTGAAGCAGGATGTGTTAAATTTGTACTTGTATTTAGACTGCTGTTGGTTGCACCGCTTGTTTGTGACTGTTGTTGACGTATTTCTACATGTTGATCGAAACCGAAACCGCTATCATTCGAATTATCACAAGGCGGTGGATGAGGTCGGGGTGGAAAGCGTTTACCAGGCACAAGTTTACCAGGACCAACCTAAAGGAATGCAATTTATAAAAACAAACTTTATTTCTTTTTCTTATATATATATATATATAGATACATATGTTTGTAGTAAAAATTCTAAATATATGATTATGGCATGCAAGATCTCACGTATAATTGTTAATTATAAATATATTCTCTCTATAATTGCCTTTTTTTTTTTTTTTTTTTTTTTTTTTTTTTTTTTTTTTTTTTTTTTTGTTTAGCTATGATAACGGCAATTTATTTATTTATTTGTTTACATTTACGATCAATTATATATATATTTATTAATACTTTATTGATAATAAAACTTTCAATTTCATTTTTTACTAAGTAATGTAGGTCTTTAAAGACAAACCATAGGATCGTAAGCCATAAATAATTAGCACAAACGTACGAATGTAATCGTATGTTAAAGTAGTAAAGTTTACATGCGTTTTATTAACTAAATAATTATATAATTAGAGTGATTTAGACTTACTCGGGACACTGAATGCAATTTGCCGGGAAACGCTTTACCCGGATGCCTCTTTGATGGTATACGCAAGCCCTTGCGGTGTATTCTTGTACTCATTGTCGACATAGTTGACATTGTCGTACGCATGCCTTAAAAAAGAAGCAAGAAAAACATTTTTTTTTTTTTTTTATTTAATTGAAGATTATATATAAATACATATGCATATCCTCTTAAATCACCTTTTAATATATAGATGGAAAGAATAATAAAAAAAATAAGAAAATTTTATACATATTTAGGTTCATCTTTTTGTTTGTACTGTTTGTACTCTATTGTAGATATCATAAGTTAGGAAAGCGAAAATATTTCACTCTATCAATTATTTCAGAACATGTAAGGTGCAATTGAGAACGTTCGTAGGCACGCCCCAGTTGAATGCTACTAACAATTCCTGGATGCATTGTGCAGTACGATGCTGAAAAATCGTACTAAAGTATCTTTGGCGATATTGCGATGCTTTTCTTTCTACTGTTTGCCTCTAGATGTGATGATTTTAACAGGCCTTGCAATTAAGCGACACAATTTCTATTGTAAATTTTCGCAAAAAAATGTTGACTATATGCTATCTATTGTTCCACTTCTGATTGAATAAGAAAAGCGAATAATGCTTCAAATGCTCATTATTGGACATGAATTCGATCATTTATAACGGGAATATTACGATTCACAATTTTCATTTCCGATAATAGTGTAATCTATATGGCATTTATGACAAATGTTCGCCGAGGCGCCTAACCTCGTCTGTTTCACCCGTAATTATCGAAAAATCATATAACTAAAGCGAAATACGTAAATAGGGTTTTTCGCTTCTATGTTACAACTACCTACGAAGTGTTTCCATACAAAAACATGACGATATATATTGAGAGTACAATCGATGTATATCACACAAAAGGATGTACCCTTTATCGCAAATATCGTGCTCATGGAAGTTCGAGCAAATAGTCTTGACGGTTTGCTGGCACCTACGCACTCTTTTGTGGCCTAATTTCATTGATAGAACGATGAACCTCCTTCTTCAATACACCCATTTCATGGGCTTTCTGGCATAGACCTTGGATGTCAAATAACCCCGTCTAGTCTTCCTGAACTTTTCAATTATTTTCTTTGCAGCTGGCGAAGTTAAATCAATCCCTACCATATTTTGTACGAAATTTGCAAACTATGGCCACCAAACTTTCATTATTTTTGAAATCTTTTTTAACAATAAAAATTGCGTGTATCTCTCGTGGAATGCCCCATCTTTATTTAGCCTAAACTGTCAGCTGTCAAACTGTTTACCGCACAATTCAAATGTTACGTAAGTTTTTGAACACCCTATAGATAAATTTGCATTCGTATTGCTTTTATACGTCGTAGTATAAGTGGAATAATAAGGCAAGTAAAAAGACTGGGGCGGTTAATGACCCACCATTAAACCCTCTCCACAGTTTCGGTTAATACAGTTTTTCATAGAACGACGTTTGAAAAAAAGACTTTACATGGGAAGTAGTTGAAAAAGTTATCCGATTCAAACCACTCTCGGTCTTGTGCCAAAACTCGTCAGTGTACAAAATGTCATCAGAATATCTCGAAATTTTGCGACTTGTACGTTGAACACAAGAAAATAAGACAGGCAGACAGGCAGGCAACCTTCAATAGGAAAGCGATTCTCAATCGATCGATATAATAAAAAATGGGTTTACCCTAAATCATTCTGGGTCTACCTACATTCGTACCAATTTAATATACCCGCGTGCCATAAGTGTAAGATATAATTATTGTATTAAATTCAACACTGAAGTGCGCGTATATTTTAATTTTCCGCTTTGATTTACTACATTTCGAAGTACATATTACAAAACTCAAAAATTAGCATAAAATTCACGAGTCTGTGTAACTTTTCGCTATGTTCTACTATTACGTAAACCGGATTAGGTTTAAAATTAAGGATATCCCAGCCACAGATCATCGGCGTTGATATATTTATTGATTGATTGACCTAAGCCATTTGAAAAACGAAAGAAGCGAAATATATCTTTATCTTTACATTTCCAAGCAATCGTCGAATGGGATGACAGAAGATTAATCTTTCATGTCTACTACAACCTTACCTTAGCCGATTACTCAAAAGAAAAATGCCGCTAACAGACCGAATATCAAATTTACAAGGGGATGGAATCCTAAAAGTTAAAACATCACGAAGCAAAATTTCGAGCAAATAATTAAAAGTAAATGTGGAAAAATCACCATTTCCTCCAGCGTAGAGTCCTGTCGAAAGTTCTTCGCATCGCATATGTTAGTTAAAAATATTATTCGTGGTCTTTTTACCCAATGGCTCTGTAGTCACGTAACTTTAGCGACACTAACTCTGTCAATCCTACTAGCACACCGCAGCATGTGCTAAAGATGACAGTCTGGAGTTATCACGTCACATTTCTTCACATATTTGAAATTAATTTTATTTTGAAATGAGCCGAAATTCGGAAAAAGATCTACTGTATGTAGCAAGGTCGCTTCGACCTGGGTGGTATAGTTTTACAGGTTTGTGCAAAAATTCATGATTTTTCTAATGAAGATACTGAAGATTGAAAGCAGCAGCGCACACATTATTTAACTCGTTCACGCTCGGCTAACTAATGGTTGATGAAACCGCCTGAGTAACCGAATATAGGTAAGAACCACGTGTTCGCGTGTTCAAATCCCAAGTTTGATGGAATTTCTTTGGTCGTAGCTATAGTGAATGCTCAGTCGGTAAAGATATAGCATTTATCTATTGGGCATCTCCTCTTCCATTCTCTTTCTTTTCTTCTTTCTGACAGTCACCGCGTTACACGAATAGGAGACATCCTTTGTGTATTTGGTCATAGTACAAATAAACCAAAGAATCTCTTCCAAACATCAAGAAAGACCGTCAAAAAAATAGTGTTGAGCTATTCGAGCTAGAGTGAATTGAATTCAATTTTGACTCTCATCCGTATTTTGCGAGATGTGTGCCTAAAATGAGTTGTCTGAGTAGCATATGTAACGGGTGACGGGTGACGGGTTCAAAAATAATAACGAAATCGGTTAATCAATTGTCGACTTTTCCAAAATTTCTATTGTACACTTGTACTTATTATCAAGTGTTTTATTTGCTCATATAAATGGCATAGTTGAAGCATACTTTCTTGAGGCGTCTAGATGGTGGGTATTTCAGATTCGCTGTAAAATAAATACAGCTTTCAGCACAGTTGTTATTATTGTTGTCATTTTTGTTGTTGGTTTTGTTGTTGTTGTTGTTGCTGCTGTTGTTGTTGTTGTTGTTGCTGTGTTACATTTAAATGTGCGAGTGCATATACATTTAAAGACACATTATTTTATATTGTGTTGTGCTTTTGATTTGACATGAGGGCGTTGTACTTTGCTTTATCAGTAACAGTTTGTCTACAATATTTTCCTTGAAATGTTTGTGTTTTTATTTTATTATTATACTTTTTTTCCCTGCGTTCGCCTAAGAAACCACATGGAATACAGAATAAAACTGAACGTAACTGAATACAACAATAAACGAAATGATTATAAAAATAAAATAGACATCACGCTTTGCGTCGAATTTTTAACACCCATCGTTTAGAAAAGTAAATAATTAATTTAAGAAAAAAAGCAAAAAAAAAAAAAAACTTTGTAGAATGCTTACCTTTACCTTAACGAACGAAATCGCTATGTGGGCCTTAAAATAACGCTATTTCTCAGCATTTTTTTGAATGGAAAAAAAGATAACAGAGTAGTAATGCATGATGGGATTATGACGCATATGTTTAAGTATTAAAAATTATTTCTGAAATGTAATAAAACATGATAGCGCCGGAAACACTCTCGCGAGCGTGCATTAAAATCGAAAGGTCTAAAGGTAGAGCATAACGTTTTTTCGAAATATTAACTTCTATGCGATTGGCGATGCCTTTTTAAAAACCAATCCTTAGATTATCAAAAAGATCCTACGTACTTCCTTTTAAAATGTTATACGAAAGATATATAAAATAAAAAAAAATTTAAAAAGTTATGGTGCATTTGCCTTTTTACGAAATCATGTTTCGAGAAAAACGAGTTCAAAGTTTTAAAATGAGTTATGGAAAATTCTTTTACTAAAGTGCAGTTACTGTTAGTTTTTACCAAAATGTCTCTTCCTGCTTAAAAACTGTAACTATCTCTCTTTCCTCCAAAATGTCTTTGTTTTTACGAAATGACAGCAGAAAACAACGGGGAAATACTTGAAGTCATTGTTAGCAATAAAGATTCGAGGCAAAAGAATTCATTACTTGGCATTGACACTTCTCTCTGTAACTCTCTCTCATCGCGAGATGACCAGGTTAACTGTAGTTTTCCTTAAAAATCTTTCCCTATGAACATAACACGTTCTAAAAACATCTGAGAGAAGTTTAAAATCATTAGGCCAGACGTTGATGTATGATGAATAATTTGATACAAACTCTCTTCCGAAATTTCAGGAAAAGGGATCTTCCAGATAATGAATTTTTTTCCACACATTCTAGGAGATTCAAAGGATGAAACCATTAAGTCAGAAAAAAAATGTATGCGAAAAATGTGGATTTCTATCTTAACAGCAGAACATAACTTGATTTTTATGGGGAAGAAGTCATAACATATACGCAAGAAGAGGTGAATGCAGCCCAGCGGGGACCTTTAGTGGACCAAAACGCCTAGGTTTTTCCTTTATTATAAGTCGATGTGTTAGTAAGTTTGACCGAAACCTGCTTACATTAAATATCTTAAATGTATTACATTTTAAATCGATATCTCGTATGGATCGGCGAAGACATTGATGAAAACATTTTTTACATCTTCTCACTCGACCTTATTAAGAATTCTTAAATAATTTTATGGTGAGTGTTTCTACTAGATCTCTAGATTTCTCCGAGCATAATTTAATGCAGGTTTGACAATTTAAGCCAAATTTCAATAGAGAACGGACGGGCGGATATATTAAGTTAGTTTTATGCACATATGAAACTTATGTGGGGTTCATGGTTGTACATACTTATGAGTGAAAAATCGATAAAAAATCGAAATAATGTGAAGGCACTTAGTTCGTGGTCATCCATAAGCT